ATAACTGAAATACCTTACAATCCTACAGGACAAGCAGTAGTGGAAAGATCTAACTGAACCTTGAAAGAAATGCTTCATAAAAGCCAGGAGGAACAAAGACCCCCAAACACAGGTTACATAATGCTTTACTAATATTGAATTTTCTGAATGGTAATGAAAAAGGACAAGCTGCAGCAGAAAGACACTGGACTACAGAGAAGATTTCTGAACTGAACTAACCGGTGTATTTTAAGGATGTTATGACCTCAGTTTGGAAACCAGGATATGTGTTACATTAAGGAAGGGGTTCTGCTTTTGTTTACACATGAGAAGAAAAACTTTGGGTTCCATCAAAATTAATTAAGATTTGATCAGATCATAAGACATCTCAGAGGAGGAAAGATAACAGCTCATCTACAAAATCACATTCTACCATGGATAAAGTGACCTCATAAAAGGAAAGAGAAGTGTTTTGGTTTTTGTCTTCACAGGTAAACTGGATGTATGTTTTTCTGAAGAAGAATAAATAGCTACCCTGAGGACCATCAAACAATCAATAACTTACTGTGTGCTATCAAAGTCTAAATCTTTTTATATTGTTTTTGTAATACCCATTTCTTTCTGTTTCTTAATATGCTTTTGTCCCCATTCTTTAACTGAAGGTGGCTTAGGAGTTGGATTGGCTCTCCTACTCTAAATTTAAGTGTATTATTTAAATAAAATTCAGAATTTCTGTATTATATCAAAGAGTCATTGATATAAGACAGAAAACCTAACATTAGGGACACTTATCTGGGGATTTCTTTTTCTGAAAAGTCTAATTTCCTTCATGTTTAGTATCATCCTTAGGGATGCCTTTTCCAATATGTATACATATTAAAGTTTTACAAAAAAATTCTTTGTTAACATTAATGTCTGAGTTTTCCAGAGAACAAGGAATTATCTGACAGCAATCTTCAACTGCTTCAGAAAGAGAATGGGAATCCACTTCCTCGACTCCACCTAATTCTACTGGATGCATCTGAACTGCCCCACATCATCGACCCCACCTGACAAGCACCATCCTGTAAATGGTTTAGAACTACATCACTAGGCTAGCATAGAATATAAGTAGATTATAACATACTTATCAACCTCTTTGTATATATGTTGTGCATGTTTGAGTTTGTATCAAATTTAAATTTTCTATTTAGACTAAAAGGGGAATTGTAGGAGTGAACCCCACAAAGTTATCTGCCCATGAGGGTGGGAAAGTAAATTACGATAGGTAGAGATAAAAGGAAGTGAAAGAAAAAAGGACTTTATCTTTGGAAGCTGGCCATGCTTCTGACTCTCAGCTTGTGTGATTCTCTCTCTGGTAGATTAATATATTGTATTCCCTATAGCATTGAATGTCATCATTACCCAACAACTCCACTCTTAGGCATATATCCAAAAGATTCACATTCATACAACAAGGACATCTGTTCCACTATGTTCATAGCAGCATAATTTGTAATAGCCAGAACTTGGTAGCAACCTAGATGCCCTTCAACAGAAGAGTGGATAGAGAAAATGTGGTACATTTACACAATGGAGTACTATTCAGTAGATAAAACAATGGAATCCTGAAATTTGCATGCAATTGATGGCACTAGAAGAAACCATCCTGAGTGAGGTAACCCAGTCACAAAAAGAGAAACATAGCATGTACTCTCTCATATATGGGATTTAGACAAAGATCTGGGGAGTGGCAGCCAGAGAGTCTGGGAAACAGAACCTCCATTCAATGGCTGATGGAAGCAGAGGCAGACTCCCACAGCTAAACACTGAGCAGAACTCAAGGAATACAGTGAAAGATAGGGAGGACTGATGAGCAAAGGTGTTAAGACTGGGCTGGTTTAACCCTCAGAAACAATTGACCAGACAAGGGTTAGCGCTTGAATCCTAGACTGATGGCTGGGAATCCAGCATCGGACTGATCAAGAACCCCTGAATGTGGGTGTCAGTGAGGAGGCCTAGGTAATCTATTGAGACTTGGGTAGTAGAACAGTGTTCATCCTGGGTATACAAATGGACTTTGGATGCCCTTCCAACAATGTGAGATGCACTTTCACCCTGGACTCTTGTGGGAAGGTTGAAGCCCTTCCATGGATGAAATAACAGACTATGGACATCCCCATGGAGGGCCTAACCCTCCCTGGGGAAATAAGGTCATATTGGAAGGGCTGGTGGAACGGAGTGGGAGAAGGAGAGGGAAAGGGAGAGTGACCTGGAATTGACATGGTAAACAAACTTGTTTCTAATTTAAATTTAAATTTAAAAATAAAATTAAAAAAGAAATTCTCCCAGTGAATTTTTCCACAGAGTAGTTTCAAGTGAAAACAATGTCACTTAGAAGAAATTCTAGAGCATCTGGGTTGTTTTTTTCATGTTGGGGAAGGACAAAGCAAACTACAGTGCTTCTTCTTCAGTATGTTCATGTTCTGCCTTCATGTTCTTTGAAATATATTCTTATCAACAACTCCAACCCCACTGTATAGTCTTAAGTAAAATTTATTGGTAATTAGTGGTCTTGATATCTGGTGCAACCTCAAATAAAGTCCTCTCATTGCCTCCTAAGGACTAATCCCCTATAAGCTCGATGAATCTTTACCAGTTTGGAGATTTTCCTTCTTTCATTGTTGCATGATAGAAATTCACTAATGAACATTTCATATAGGAAAATCTCTATCATGTTCAAAAATATTTTATTTCTTTGATAAACTTCTTTCACATTTTCCAGTTATAAATATCATTTGGAAATGGTTGAATAAAATGTAGTTATTTTTTGATATTCAAACATGCAAAGATAGCATCTAAATTGGAGATCTCCAGGGAAGAGGGTCCTGCCTTTGAAAATTTGATACCCTGTGGAAGAGTAGTAAAAATAGTATAGGAGTCAGAGTGAATGCAGTGCATTAAGAGAACATGGCACACTGAATCAACAAAGTTGGTCTCAAATGCTCTCACAGAGACTGAGTAGGTGTAGAGCCTACATGTTTCTGCACCAGATATTTTGCATATACATTATGACTGTTAGCTTAGTGTTTTTGTAGGATTCCTAAAAGTGGGAGCAGGTGTATCTCCTACTATTTTTCTGGTGCTTGAGATTTCTTTCCTCCTAGTGGCTTGACTTTTCCAATCTTAATATGTCAACTTTCATCTTGTCTTTTTTATCTTTTTCTCCTTTTTGGCTGTTGTCTCTTGGAGTGTCACGACCACCCTTGACCAGCAAGAATGACGCAGCAATGACAAATCTTCTTCTCACAGTTTATTTGGGAAACTTGCTTACAGGGAGTGGGCCCGACCCCAGGAAGTTGAGGCTTAATATACTCAGCGATAGCCAATCAATTACACCCAGGTGGCACACTAGGATAGGTTGTCACCACGCAGATCTAGAAGGGTACTTGGCCTTACTCCTAATAAGGAGTTGTTTACTTACTGAGCGCACTCACCATTGGGTTGGTGGTATGTGGAAACCGGCGCCATCTATTGGCACTGTAGTCTGCAGCACCCAACTTTGGAGGCTTGCTATTTTTTGAAAAGTAAATGGAATGGGAGTAGAGAAACTAAAATTTGGAGGTATTGTATGAGAGAATGTAACAGAAATATTAAAAACCCAGAGAGAAGCTGAAGATTAGAGAAGCAAAACAGCTAGCCAGTAAGTAGTTCTCACGTCGACCAATGTTCTGATCTGAGGGGCAATCTACTGAATTCCAGATTGCCTCTGAAGACCTTACTGCTCTACATTAAGCCTCAGGATCCTAGCCTGCCCTCTGAGACCACACAAAGCTCCTTTTATACTCTCTAATGCTGGGATTAAAGGCATGGACATCCAATGACTGAATTCTCCTTTGTGTAAGCTGCTTCTCTTTTTAGACCGATTTCACTCTAGTGTAGGCCAGGGTTGACTTGTAATCACAGAATTCCATCCACCTCTGTCTCTTGAGGCCTGGGGAAATGGTGTGTGCCATCACTGCCCAGCCTCTATGGCTGTGGCTAGCTTTGCATCCTTATTCTTCAGGCGAACTTTAGTATGTCATAATAATATATCACCACAAGAGCAGAGTCTATTTTCAATAAAAAGACATTTCTTCATCTTGGTGATGAGCCTGTGTGTGGAAGATTAGTTGTGATAAAAATGTGACATCTAAAGTCTGACAGTCAGTCTCTTATTGTTAGCACTCAATCTACTGCATTTTTATATAATATACACAAACTTTACAATTGTACAGATTTCTAGATGGTAACACTATATAGATTTGAACACATATTTATCGACTTAAACCTCAAGATCTCAGTCTCAGAAAGTTTTCACCTTTTTCTTGAGTTCTAATATGGAAAAAGCAGTATGTAAATCTTCCCACTAAGAATTAGTTCGTAGATTGTTGTGTCAGCCTCTTTTTTTTTCTATAGTGAAATGGTAGAAATTCTGTTCATCTAACTAAAATTTGACTAAGTAACCTCATATATTGGGAATTACATACATGTTTTTACAAGTTCATTCCTCCTTATCAGTATTTAATGTTTCAACATACTTGTGATAAGTTGCCATTAGAGAGTTATTTGTCAAGTAGAAATGAGGATTACTTGTCTCTTCAGTTTTCTTGATTGTATTCCCAAATCTGACAAAACCAAAACAAACAAAATAAGGCAGGCTTAGACAGTAAGATGCTATGCTGAAAAACATTAGCAAATACAAAAAGTGTTGAAATGATTGCCTTGATTCTCTGGTACACTGGCCCCACAGACCATGTCTCTGTTCACTCATATCAAAGCTTTCACAGTGGAGTCTATCTGACCCCTGATGTAGACAGCAGAGTCTGTATTCATTCTTCTACAAACACAGACAACATTTGCCAGTTCACTTTTAAGAGTGTGCTTTTCTCTCCTTGGGTTCTTTATACACAGTTGTACTCACCACATGATTTGCATATTGTTCCTGAGGGATGACCTCTTCTTGCAGGTCAGTGAGAAAAGCTAGCCCCTCTTTGTGCCTTGACTACTCAGGACTCTTCATATCAAATTCTGAAAATGAGGTGCCCTGCTCACCTCCTGGGGCTGCTTGTGTTCTGGATCCCAGGTAAGGAGAGAAACAACTATGAAGAAGAAGAATGTGGAGGGATGGGGATTTCTGGGGCCCTATTGATGTGGATACATATTATGTCCATGCATAAGATTGTCAGTCTTGTTGTCTAGGAAGGACATTTTGAGGTTTAGAGGGTGAAGGCCGAAGAACCTGTGCTCTTGTGGCAACTCTGAAAATTACCAAAACACATGGTCCAGGTGATTTCTAGAAAGTCTCTATGCCCTTTTCTACATAGATGTTAATTAAACATTTTTAGAATATAAACACAGTCAAGAAAACAGTAAATAGAAAAATAAAGGAAGGGAAATTCATCCTATAATATCATTTTGTTTGTAGATAACCTTTCATTTCTTTTATTTCAGGGAGCATTGGGGATATTGTGATGACCCAGACTGCACTCTCCAATCCTGTTCCTCTTGGAGAGTCAGCTTCCATCTCCTGCAGGTCTAGTAAGAGTCTCCTATACAAGGATGGCAAAACATACTTACATTGGTTCCTACAGCGACCAGGACAGTCTCCTCAGCTTCTGATCTACTTGGTGTTTAATCGTGTCTCAGGAGTCCCAGATAGGTTCAGTGGTAGTGGATCAGGAACTAATTTCACACTGAAAATCAGTAGAGTGAATAATGAGGATGTGGGTGTTTATTACTGTTTGCACAATGTAGAATATCCTCCCACAGTGACACAGCCCAAATCAAAAACCTCTCTGCTTGAAGCTTTAAAGTTGCCTCAAAAGTTCTTTGCTTTGGGTTCAAACATTCAGTCAGCATTGCTGAAAATGCTTTTAGGAGTCATTTGTTTTTTCTCTCAGCTACTGTGCCAATTAACCCCCTGGAATGGGTTCTTCCATGAGAATTGATGCTGGAAGATGGAGAGACAGAAGCTTATCTGCAAGGAAGAGATGTCTCGCAATGTCTTACATCATGAGAAAAATTCAGTCACTTATAGTAAGTGTTAGATAGGATATCTTGAGCAGAAAAAAAACTTCAATGTGATTACTTTTGACCCAGTATTTAGTCTTTAATCTCATTTCCAAAAAACAGCAGGCACACATATTTCTTTGGATGTATTTGTCTCATATTCCATAGTGGTCACACTGAATATAATTTTCCTTTCTCCTTGTTACTGTCAAGTTGCTTATTGAGCACAGGTTGACAGGTTAGGCTATGGACATAATATTTGATCCCACATTATGAACCAATAAAAAATTTCCTGAGACTTTGTAAAAGGAAGTTGATGAAAGATTCAACAAAAGCAGCTGAGTCCTAAGCACAAAGGGTCCTTATATATTCAACAAGGAATTATAATCTAAAATATAATAAGAACTAAAACTATAACCAAATTAATCATAAAGAAAACTAATAGCTCAATAAATAAATGGGCTAAAGAAATAACCAGACAGTTCTCAAAAAATAAACTACAAATTCATAATAAACTACATTCATTGTGACTATATAATTGCCACCTCTTATGTAATATTCCCTGAGTATTTCAAATAAGATTTGATATAGAAACTCTTGTTTGTGGTTGAGCATAGCAATAACACTCTTTCTTTGCCCTTTCACGATTTGTGAGTTTCTGTGTTTGCCACAATTCACTGCAAAAGGAAATATCACTAATGATTTCTGAAAGTAGTGTTAATATATGTATAAAAAGACATATTTGCAAGACAGATTGACATTGAGTCTATTTAGCAAAATAGTAAAAGTTGGTTGCATCTTAAGGTCTTTGTTTTTGTCAGATTTTCATCATAAGGTATGTGCTTCTTCTAGTGGGGCACGTCTTAAGCCAAAAAATTGAAAAGATATTAGATAACCAATAACATCTGTGTCAGTCATAGTTACATGATTAAATCTACATTCAAGGACATTATTGCAGTTCTTAGGTTTCATAGCTTCATAAACATGTTTATTTTTTGTGCCTCAGCAACTCATATAACACATTTCTTACAGTGAATTGTAATCATCAGGCTCTCCATTCTCTCTGATTAATACTGGCTTTATTTCTCCACATCATTCTGCAAATGTGTGTAGTGTCTATAGAAATAGCATCTCAAGATGAATTTCTGTCTGGGAACACCTTCATTTGAATACAGTATTTGTGAAAATCATCATGACCACAAGCAATTTATAGAAAGGAATTATTTTGATTTATGGCACAAGATTAGAATCCTTGATGGTAGAGAGAGGCCATGGTGGTTGGAGCAGGAGGTGAGAGCTCAATTATTATTATTATTATTTTTTTTTTGGTTTTTCAAGACAAGGTTCCTCTGTATTGTTTTGGAGGCTGTCCTGGAACTTGATCTGTAGACCAGGCTGGCCTCAAACTCACAGAGATCTACTTACCTCTGCCTCCTGAGTACTGGGATTAAAGGCGTGCACCACCAATGCCCGGCAAGAGCTCAATTCTTGAACTGCATGAAGGAAGTATTGTAAAAAAGTGGAATGGTATACGTCTTAGAAATCTCAATAGTTGTCCCCCAGTATCATACCTCTTCCAGCAAGGCCATACCTCAATTAAGTACAGTGACAGCAATTGGGGACCACATATTCAAACATTTGGATAGCTGGCATACATTCTCATTCAAACCACTACAGCAATTAAGAACTATGATAATCACCTAACATATTTAGGGTATCTTCAGTATAACAATTTTCAAAATTTTGAAGGAAGTATACCAAACCTTGTGCAGGGATTTAGTTTTCACAATCCAAAGTTTCTGGGATAAGCAAAATGTTGGTTAACGGATAAATCTACATAAACCTCTTTATATTAATAAGAATATGCATGAAAATTACCAAATAATGTGTTGTTTCAAGGCTTTTTTATAGCATCATTAATGATAAGTTTCCCTTTCTCATCTCCTATTTGGTTCTTTCCTCCCATGCATCTCCACGCTTATAATTGCCTGTATATAATTCTCTCTTCCCCTATCTGTGTGCTATTTCCCCCACTCAGGGTCTTTCTTTCCTTCACATTAAGCTCACAACTCTACAGGCTACCTTACAGAATAAAACCTTTTCCAGCTATTTCAAGTTGCATGGAGCTTTTATGATTTCCTTTTAGTTTCTATTCAAATAATGAATAGATTTTTTAACAATAAAGAAAAGGAAGTTATGTTGATTGCAGGAAACTGAATTCAATGGAAAAGATTGCCATAATACTTGAATTCAGGATATGAGAATTACAATTATCCCATGTTTTCTCTAATGTCTGTTCTTTACAGAAAATCATGTGTGTAAATAACAAATTAGAATTGAAATTTTCTATAGGAGTGAACTATTTTGGTGTCATGGTTTTGTAGGACACTATGATGAATAACTAAGGGCCTAGGCATTTCTTATAAAAGTTATTAATGCTGTGCACAGTCAAATGGAGTGGCACCTGTCAGCATGCAAAAGATTGAAAGAGCATCTGTAAATTGACAACTAGATTCAAATATAATATTTTTGTAAAAAGTGGTGATATATTATTTGTGAGGTCAAGGCCACCCAGGTATTCATAAAAATGAATCAGTCTAAAAGAATAACAGAGCTCATGACTTTAATCCCAGCATTAGGGAGATAGAGACAGGAATGATATGGCTGGGCAAATTGAGTAATATAAGGCTAGAGAACTCATTGTAGTCTGAGTGAATCTGAGGAGCAATCTATGATTCTGAGGCTTCCTGGAAAACAGTGTAGTCTGGAGATGCAACCTGAGGTTTGCTGGGTGGCCACTTTAGTCTGACCATTGATAGATTTGAGAACTCTGTAGTGGCTGGATGCTTTGCTTCTCTGATCTTCAGCTTGAATCCCAATATCTCTCTCTGGGTCTTTTGTTGCAACAAAAAATGTTGAGAAAGAAGTTGAGAATAGAGAGAACTGTGTCTATAGGATAAAATATCCTCAAATTTAATATTTGTATTTATGAAAATTTAGCAAAATAACTTTAAATGCTGTTTTATCCATATTGTCAATTTTATGCTACCCCCTATTCTTCAGATCTTAGTGTTCTTAATGAGTTAGATTTAATATGTCTCAGAAACTGTTTCTAAGACTTATGGATCATATCCCTGAATGGTTATCTTGGGAGGGACAAATACCAAGAAACTTCTTAACCTCAATTTCAGCTTTTATTGGATAAATCCCCTTAAGCAACAACATGACAGGGCGGGTGTGTTTTGTATTTCTCTAGGTTAAGAAGCAGTTTAAGCTGATTTTCCATAGCCTTCCCAAAGTTTTTCTAATGCAGTGGTCTCTGACCTTGTCTTAGAAAACCATTGTCTTATGCATCCAGTGCCCCCATCACTAATCCAGAATTTCATACTGATGCCATTTTTGTTCAGTGATGAAAGAATAAAGACATTTTACATCATCTTCCTCATAAAGGTATACTTAGCTAATGCATGACTCTTCCAAAACAGCTACATACCTCTGAACATACATATTTTTCTGTGGGGAGATCTGTCCACGAATATCTCAGATAAAATCTCAGTTGTAGTCTTCTCTTGACTACCAGTGGCTGCTCAGTAGAAAAATGAAATGAGGGCATCCAGTATTGTTCCAGGGGCTGATGATATTTTGGATGGCTGAGAAGAAAACAGAGATGAACAAGAATGGAGGAGAAAGAACCAGCACTTAATGAGACAATGTATTTTTGTCCTTCTCGTACTGTTTGTGGTAGAGTCCAGGGCAGAGCTTACCACGGACAGCCTGCTAGCTCTCCTTAGTTGCTAAGAGAAGTGCAAATTTGTTGCAATTGGGTAACTTGGTCTTACTGTGAGATTCCTAATATTGACAACAGGGATTCTCTCTGAAAGAGTTACCTGAGTTTTGGATTCTTTTCTTCCCACTGGATTACTCCATAAAGCCTTCATAGAAGAGCAATCTCCCTAGTCTCACTAAAACTTGGTATATCATGGAGGGCAAATAGCCATTAGATGTCAATCTGTATCTGAAGAGAAACAGTGGGGGAGGATGGATGGGTTGAGGGTAAGAATGAATTGGAAACAGGAACTTGGAAGATGGGAGAGAGTTGGAACATTGATTGGGATGGAAAGTAATAACAACAAAAATAAACCAGAGACAGAAGCAGCGGGCAGAGAGAAAGAGAAAGAGAGAGAGAAAGAGAGAGACAGACAGACATACAGAGAGAGAGAGAGAGAGAGAGAGAGAGAGAGAGAGAGAGAGAGAGAGAGAGAGACTATCCAAAATCAGAAATGGAAAAGGATTCATAATAATGGATACCAAGGAAATCCAGACAGCTATTATGTCTGGATTTATACTCCACAAAATTGGAAAATGTAAGAAATGACAGTTTTCTCCACAGTTACCACTTACAAAATTTAAGGCAAAACCAGGTGGACAATCTATACAAACCTATAAACTCTAAGGAAACAAAGTCAGTTATTAAAATCTCCCAAGCAACAAATGCCAAGAGCCATGTGGTTTTAGTTTTGAGTTCCACTACAATTTCAAAGAAGATCTAATACCAATTATCCTTAAATTATTTCACAAATTGGAACAGCAGGAACATTGCTGGATCCACTTTATGGAGCCAAAAATCACTGTGATACCCGATACACAGAAAACACCAACACAAAGGGTGTTATACACCAATTTCCTTCATGAACATTGATGTAAAAATATTAAATAAAATATGGGCAAAACAATCCAAGAACACATCAGAAGAGTCATCATCATGATCAAGTAAGCTTTGTACCAGAGATGCAAGGTATGACCCAACATATGAAAATCTGTCAATGTAATCTACAATATAAACACACTAAAAGGAAAAAAAAACATTATCCTTTCATTGGATGCATTAGAAGCCAGTGACATAATTCAACAGCACTTCATGATACAGTTCTTGGAAATATGGCAATTTACAGCAAGCCTGTAGCCAACAGCAAAATAAATGGAGAGAAATTCAAAGAAATTACACTAAAATCTGGAAGAAGACAAGGTTTTACACTCTCTCCATACCTACTCAATATAGCACTTGATGTTCTAGCAATAACAATAAGGCAACCAAAAGAAATAAAAGGGATATAAATTGGAAAGGAAGAATTCAAATTATAACTATTTGAAGATGATATGATAGTATAAAGAGAAAACTCCAAAGTTATACCAGGAAACTTCTGTAGCTGATATATACATTCAGCAAAGTAGCAGGATCTAAGATTGACTAAAAACTCAGTAGCCCTCCTATATTTAAATGACAAACTTGCTTAAAATTAAATCAGGGAAACAGCATTCGTCAAGAAAGTGAAAGGCCTGCTTGATAAAAACTTCATGACTCTGAAGAAATATTTAGAAATAAACAGATTTATTACAGTGACTTAAACCATGTAGGCTCATAGTCCAACAATTGCTGTGTTCACAATGGAGAATCAGAGAAAACAGTAGTTGCTTGGGCATGGAGTTTTGATACATGTCCCTAATGGTAAAGATGGACTGAATGTTTCCTAGAGAACAGCAGGATTTTAACTCAATTTGGAGTTCCAAAGAATCATAATTCTTATGTCAGTAAAGCATGGCTACAGCAGTGGCAATAGAAGGGACATAGATAGTGTTTATGAAACTGCCATCAAGTATGATGGACTCACCAGCAATATTCAAGGGCAAGCAGGATTGGAAGCAAAAGATACTCTCTCAGACATCAGTATATCTGACATACCATTGTAAGGTACCTCTAAGATTCAGAGTGAATATTCCCAATTCTGTTACCTTGAGAAAGATAATCCCTCGCAATCATACCTAGATATACACCTACTCTATAAATATTTCACCAATGTGCAGAAACTTCTCTAATTGATTAATGCAGACCATGCCATTTTGACAGTCACTAGTAACCATCGCTTCAAATAGAATTTTGCATTAAGGTCTAACCACAAGAGTTTATTGGTTTAATAAGAACAGAATCAAGGATCCATTTCTAAAACTGGTCATGATGCCTGGCATCTGTTGTCCTTAACAAATCAACATGGGGCATATTTGACTCCTACCATTAGGAGCCTGAGGAGTTTTCAAAAATTATTACTGTCAGCAGTGTTGAAGAATTTCTCCTATGGTGATCCCCCTTGGAAGTAAAAATCTCTTTGCCACCTAATGGAACAGGGAGATTTTAAAAAATATCTTCTTCTGCTCAACCATGGTTCTCTCTTTGTGTGTCAACTTCATGGTGCTGAGTAATTGTAACTGGCTGTGTACATATTAACCTAGAGCTTGGAAACTGAGCCTGTTCAAATGTCTGAACTACTTGTTAATCAACAGAGAAGGAAGACACACAAATCATAATACCTACTGATAATTATACTATAGATAGGGTAGTGTTTCCAAAGAATTTGTTCTTTTTCAGAAAGCTACTACTGTACCATCAACACACTCCTTGTTAGGAAACAAATTCATTTATTTAATCCGATCTAAGGGCCATTGTGGTAGAGAAGCTGAATGTTTCTTTAATTTGCTACATGTATATATGTATAGTGAGAAGGTATGATAAGAATTCAAAGACCAGATGCTCTGCAAAATAATTATTTGTATGCTGTTTTAAGTTGAAAGGAACTGTTGTTCTCCTCTTATCATCCACTGAAAGTATCCTGGGACTACCATGTTATAAAGAAAAACTGTCTTCCAAGACTCAAAGAGAAATGCAGATAGAGCTGGTAAGTACCATCAGAAAGACAATGAAGTGAAGAGGCCAAGAAGCTAGCAATGCTATTAATCCATCATAAAACTTCTGTGTGGTACCCTGGATGGGGAAGTTTTCCTGTATCTTGAAGAAGTTGATCAAGGCTAAGTGTTTGCTCACAGCCATTAGTCAAGTCCAAGCATCTGGAAAATTAACAGGGTTGGGTTCTAGCTGTAACACTCTCTGACCTTGCAAAGTTATGTTTCTAAAAGACTGTAGGGATTCCCAGGCTCTAAGAGAAGAGAACTGAAGACAGAATAGATTATATGTATCCTGATGATAAATAACAATTGATAGCCAAGGGAAAGACATGGCTGTGATATCTATGGTGCTCGATTTATTTGTGCTCAAATATTGGTGCTATAAGTATGCATAAGCTTTTCTGCATCTTAGCTTGTTTGCAGACAGACATGTACATGCAATCATTGAGGCTGCTGGCTGAATCAGGATGAGGTTCAAATTACCATTTGAGAGTTAAATTTGAAAGTATCATTTGTAATACATAGCAGATGTATGTAATAAGTAACACTGTTTTCTGTTAATGTGTTCAGGTCTGTGATTACTAGTCAACAATTCCATTAAACTGAGGAATTGTTGGAGATGGAGAAAATGGCTGAAGAGTGGCTAAAGATGGAGTATATCAAATTCATCAAAAGGTAAATCTCTTATAGACTGTGATTATGAAACTGACTCTATCTTCATAGGGAGGCAAAACTGCAAGTTGTGCATCTTGTTGGGATCAAGGTGGTATGGGCTCACCAATGTGTGTTTCCTAGTTTTGTACTTTAGTAATCAAGGCAAAGGTTGTTAAGTCTTCTTTTTAAATTTCATTAAAATGGTGCTCTTTTGTCATTTTTTTCTTTTAAAACTTTTGTTTTAAATTAAACAAACTACTGACAAACCCAAAAACATAAATATACAGTTTTTATCCAATAATAATTATTTCAATGAGTTAAATATTTAATGTCTCTTGTCTGTTATATGTTTTCTGACAGAAAGATATTCTGTTATATTCTACAATATATCTTTGAAATACATAATTCAAAATGCAGCATATGCCTATACCTTCAATATTTTAAAACTGAAGTGCAGTCTTAAGAGGCATGTGTGTGGTTTGACCTTAGGCATCTAAGGAACAGGACATAGGCTCAGTATAAGAATGTCTTGCAGCTGTGTCCAGCACTAACTGGTTCCTAATATTTTGCATGCACTCACTGCATATGCTTGATGATTTCTTCATATACCAGTTACAACCTGTGAAGTTGTCATTGTAGTCAGGACACAGCATGGATATGAGAACATCTGCTCAGCTTCGTGTGCTTCTGTTGCTCCAGATTCCAGGTGAAAAAAGACAAAATAGGAATTTTTCTGGTATACTGTGATTAGTGTTGACTAGAATTTTGGATAACCCCTTTCTTATCATGCTTTAACAATGTGTCAATGTATTATGTCTCCTTTCCTAGGTGCCAGATGTGATATCCAGATGACCCTGTCTCCATCCTCCCTATCTGCATCACTGGGAGACAGAGTCTCTATCACTTGCAAGGTCAGTCAGGGTATTAACAATTATTTAAACTGGTTCCAGCAAAAACCAGGGAAAGCCCCTGAGCTCCTGATCTATGGTGCAAATAGCTTAGAAGACGGAGTCCCATCGAGGTTCAGTGGCAGTGGGTCTGGGACAGATTATCCTCTCACCATTAGCAACCTGGAGTCTGAAGACATTGTATTTTATTTCTGTCTGCAAGTTTATGATACCCCTCCCACAGAGATACAAATCATAACAAAAACGTCATTGAAAAAGAAGTGGGAGCCTGGGCTGCCCCAGCTGTAACTTCTCCTAAGTCACCAACTAAAACTGTTCGTCATATGTCAAAGAATTTTCAAAGCTATTGGAGAGTCATTTATTTTTTGTAGAAAAAATTTTTACAGATTTGCAGAACTCACAAGAGTTTAAACAGCCCTATATTTACCTTAACCACTGTTCTTTCTCTTCATCTCCAATTATCAGGAATACCAATACATTTATGTCTTAATCGAGGAAACAGTTGTTCCCTGTGAGGAGTCTGAATTCTATGACCAGTTGGGACTGATACAGAATAGTGAAAGTTTCTGTGAACATTTCCTCATATATTCTTTAAAATGAGAACTGAGAGAAGCAGACAGTTGAAATGTATCCTCTATTTCTCACAAAGGCTTCAGTCCATCTGAAAGAGAAAGGGAAAGCTGTCCAACCAGATTCTCTGATGTACCTTGAAATCCCAATAATGAGGTACTGATGCTCTCAGCTGTTTGAACACTTCACTGAATTTTCTAATGGCTCCTTGGTACACTGTGTAGCTTACAATTATCAAACAATATTTAAAAACATCCATGTAACATTTAATCACACTGTGTGAAGTGGAAAATCAATTTGTTTATATGAAATTACAGGGGGAAAATTGCTGTCTTAAACAGGCACCCACACATTTTATAGTAACTACAGAGTTCTATACTCCAGTTTGTGTTTTTTAAAAATCCATTGTGGGCAAGATGTATTTTTCTATCTCTTTATGGTGTTCCATCCATCTACATGTTTATCTGTGCACAAATTATACATATAGACTAAATTACTATAAGTTAATACAAAAAGAACAAGCAAGTTATAAAATGTATCACTTTTCTAGCCTTCTGATTGCTTTAGATTTGATGGCGGTTCCTTGTCTTTCTACATAAAATCTAAAGTGAATTTATTATCTTTAGAAATTATTTTAAGAATATGAGTTGCATTACATTGACTACGCATGCAACATGGATATGATATACATTAAAAAGTGGTTCATGGAGCTGATGACAATACCAAGTGGTAAAGAGAAAGAAAATGATGCTCTTGAAGATGATCTGAGTTTGATTCTCCACAACCACATGATGACAATTAGCTATCATTTACTTCAGTTCCAGGGACTTTTGCACACTGTTCTGTCCTCTGAGGGTACCAGACATGCATACTTTTTCCTTACCAACATGCAGATAAAACATTCATTTTCATAAAAACATTTTTATAAAGTGGTTCACATTATGAACACTGAAATGATCTCTTTTCATCTGGATGTTCATAAAAACAAGAGAGCTACATTATGAGCCTTTAGTCCTTCCAGTGAGTTTCCATCTCAGTGATTATTTGATATCTTAATTTCTTAGCATTTTCAAAGCTGTAGCTATATGGTAGCCATTATGATAGTTATGAAGCTTAAAATAGAAAAAATATCTTTGAATACACAGTTAGTTTTTAAACTAGGAAACCCAGAGTCTTGGACTTCTAGTGCACACATATGAATAGATATGTAAACAAACACAGAAAGACAGATTTGTAACGTTTAGTCTTCTGTCCACAACCTGGGGCTTCTTGTCTCTTTTAGCCCCAAAATAACACACAAGACACTTGATGAATTATGAAGCTGTTGGCCATTTATTTGGTTTCTTATCAGCTAGGTTTGACTTGATTATTAACCCATAATTATTAATTTACTTTACAAGAACTTATCTTTTTTAGGACATACTCCTGTGTTCCTGTTGCTTGTCAGAGATCACATAGTGAGAGATCTCCTCAATATAATTCCCAGAATCCTCCTAGAATCCTAGTCCTACCTATCTTGTTTCTGTATTTTCCAACAATGCTTTATTCAAACCAATAAGACACACATTTACAGAATGATGTCTCCCAACATCTTCTCTTTTCTGTCTAAAATAAAAAGAAAAGTTTTAACTTTAACATAGTCAAATTATATATAACAGAACATTTATCAAGCAAGAACTATAATTACAATATTTCGTCCATTAAGAGTTAGTTGGATTTCAAGAATGTATTATCTATCCTATCTTTGTGAGTTTAAAGTCTCATGTGTAGTCTATATTTCATCATAACTAAGGAAATCTATAATCATAACTATCTGTCTTTAACTTCATCAAAGACCACATAATGATAATATATAAAGACTAGAATTTACAGAGACATCTCTCTACCTGGACAGTCACCTGAATTTCCTTTGTAACATTGGGGATTTCATCTTCAGCACATAGGCCACAATGTGTCTGGAAGACTTCTCACCAAAGTAGGAAATTTTAAACTGTCCATCTGCAATGGCAGTCTATCAGTACTTTTATGTGTCCTGCAGAAAGTCTTGCAGACTCCTCCATTAAGCAGGAACTCTGAAGTACATTCCAAATTAAGTAATCACATTTTTGTGGATCCTGTATTTCCAGATTATTGAGCAACAGTCAAACAGTCTAGGCAAGAGCGATTTCTTATCCAAATGGCTAATCTTGCCATGTTGAAAGCAAACTCCATAATGAGTTTCTTCGAAGCCCATCTTCCTCTCAGACATAACTGGTAAGTCAGGAGCAGAGATTTCCCATTGTCAATAAAACCCTAAACCAATTAAATGTAATTTTCTGAAGGTCTTTGAAAGTTTTGAACACTATCAACATATCTCTGTAAATCTAGAAAACCATCTTACCTAACTAAAAGTTCTGACAATTATAAGGTTACTATCTATAATTTGTATTTAATTATACATTACATTTTAAAAGATCAGTATAAATACAATACTTAAACAAAAAGAGAAATACACATCACAAAATTGACCTTAAATTTGTATTAATAAATGAAAATCCATTCCATTAATTTTTGTTACTATACCATATTTCCAATTTTTCTTAAAGAGATTTACTGTGATCATTTCTATTTATAAGCAAATCTGTATAAATTAAAGCAATCATTTAAACAATATTTGGGAATTTGGGTGTTGGTCATTTCAAACTGTTTCCTGCTGATAGGGGGTGCTGTCCATACTGTGAGGATAAAGACAAAACACAGACACCTGGACAGTTCCTTGTTTTTGTAGTCTGTAAGGCTGGATCTTCTCAGCCCTTTTAGATGCTGGGTCACCTGGGCCACTGTTTCTGGTGGTCTTGGTTCATCAAGTCGCAGGAATCCATAGCTTTTCATTTTCTGTGGAAACATAAACAAAATCTTTTTCCCAAGTAACTTGTCCTTATGTTTAGATTTAGAAGTCAAAGCATTTTTAAAATATATAAGTTGGATTAATTTACTAGCATTTATGATCAAGTATATTTTAGCAGTTGTTTTTCTCCTTATCAATTGGACAACTCAAAAAACAATAGCATACAGTACACAGACTCACTGTGCACTTTTTTATCACTGCATGGCTTTTTTATTATTCTACTTTTTAACTTTTATTTATTTATTTTTTCTCTGAGGGTTTCTTTGTGGAAATCTGCCTGTCTCTTTAGCATTGGAATTAAAGGCATTTGTGCCACCAGGGCCTAGCCACTATATTTTATTTAAACCACTTTATTTATTTCTTTTTTCTCCTAAGCCTACATACATTTTTAAACAGTATAAGCCTTTAGAGGTATTTCTTCATATGTATTTGATTTTCCTATAAATCCTTGGTTTTTTTGGCCACATGTCTGTTTTCTGTTAAATATTTTAGTCAAAACTGCAGTTGTTTTAGCTGCTGTTTTTGCAAGATGGTGACTGTAAGTTCACTGCTAGTTCTGGCCGTCAAGTATCTGCTTGTCTCTAGCAAAACAGAGCTCACCCGAGAAAAATGTTGCTACTGAGAAGCCATGCTTCTATCTGTTATCTGTTCTTTTATTTCTAAAATCCCTTTTACTCTTTTGTCATTTTATGTGGAAATTCATATCTCACTTCTGACATCATATGTAATGTTTAAAAAGTCTCCCTGCCCGCAGCCTGTGTCTCTTTCAGCCCCCAAATAACATACAAAACACTATACTAATTTTGAAGCTGTTGGCCCTTTGCTTGGTTTCTTATAAGCTAACTCTGACTTGATTATTAACCCATAATTACTAATATATATTTATAAGAACTCTTTGAGGACACACTCTTGAGTGCCCATTGCTCCTGGGAGATCACATGATGAGAGCTCTTCTCACTACAATTCCCATAATCCTCCTAGATTTCTAGTCCCAACTATCTTGTTTTTCTCTTGGCCAACAATGCTTTATTCAAACCAATCAGACACACATTTACAGAATAAAGTCTCCCAACACAGATTATATATGAATAGATGACCTTTATACATCTGCTCATCCAAGTATCCATCTGTAATGCATCAAAGACTGGAAATCCTTAAAATAGCCTGTTATTATATTTTGCTATGTGTTATGTTATTCAATTTTTATGCCATATAGGTGTTCTGTTATGACTCCTTAAATTCATTAAGGAAAAAAATAGGATTTCTGGACGATGATGGATATTTAGAGGGTTTTTTTCCTGGTGGCACTATGGGTAAACAAGGACAGTTAAATTGAAGAGAACTGGGAAGTAAAGATTTAGAAATATTATAAGAGATAACAAGAAGTGCTAGAGTAATGCCTCCATATTTAAAATAATTGGCATCTCTTGTATAAGTTATGGGTTCACTTCCCAGCAAGCACCTATAAATTACAGCCATTCATTATGCCACTTCAGGGAATCGGATGACTTCTGACTACCCTGGGCACAGGTCTGCACACTGTCATATAAATACAAGTAAAAACTCTTTTATCCATTAAATCGTGCAAAATTATTTAAAAAAAGCAAAAAAATCTGAGTAGCAAGAAGCTGCAAATGTACAGAGTAGAAAGTGGGAAATAATCTGTGACTCATGTGAGAATGAGAAATCTATTTATGGGATTCAGTTCTGGGAACATCACATGACATAGCAAGCAGCCCTGATGGGAATAGATTGTCAAATTTATCCACAGAAAAGGTCCACAAGTCTTGTAACCTTTTGCATCATTGATGACATTTAATGTTTCAGTGAT